GGGAGTCCCCACCGGGAGGCTTGGAAACCTTAGGACTCTGGGAGCGTCTCCCACCTGGGGGCCCAGAAGCCCACCCCGTGACCGTGACCCGAGAGGCATCTCCCGGGATCTTGTCTCCCGGGACTCTTGAGGTGCCTGGGACTATTTGCCTCATTCGGGCGGTCCCACTTCACCGACAGGCCCCTTGACCCCATACTCTTCCCTAACCCCTGCCGTGCTGGAGAAAAGCCCTGGATTCCATGGTTACATTACAGTCCCAAGACCCCCGCGGTAGTGATAATAAAAGCACTTACTGTGCACCTCCGTGTTGAGCAAGTTCCCGGTAGTATCTCTTTTAGTTCTCACAAATGATCCTAGATGTAAGCACAGTTATTCCTGGGTTGTATGTAATAAACTGAGGCACAGAGAAGTTGAGTGATTACATGAGGTCACACAGCTAGGAAGCAAAGCCAGAATTCAGACTCAGGACTGCCTGATTCCACAAACGCATGGAACCTTGGGGCTCATCCAAGGAGACCAACACTCCCATTTACAGAGGGGAAACGGGCCTTGGCAAGGGATGGTATGTTTTGAACTTAACGTGTTGAACGGGATGAGATTCTTTGAGAATCCGGGTCAACCGAAATGGGCTTCCCAAAAGGCCGGATGAGCTGAGAGACCAAGAGTGGTAGACCATTGCGCTGCCTTCTTGCTCTGCGCAAGCGCCTTTGGGCTGTTTCCTCACCTCCTGTGTTGTGAGCCTCTGAAGTATGGTTGAGCTAGGGTCTGGAAGCTGTGCTCCGCCTTCAGCTTGAAGATGACGGGAGAGCCTCTGCCCCTGTTGTTGCATATGTGTGCTGCTTTGGGGAAGGGGTGAGCAGGTGGGTGGGTGGGTGTTGGACCTGGGCCTTGGAGGATCAGGATAGGGGTGGTGTCTCCCTGAGGAGGGAGGACAGGCTGCTAGTTCTAACCAGCTACAACGCTGAATGCAGTTCACAAAAGGGATCCTTAGAGGGAATAATACACCCATTCTGGTATTTCCCAAGAGCTTTGTAATTTACACAATTCTTTTGTATACATCATGTCACATGACCCCCAAAACACCCTAGGGGAGAATGACTCGGGGAACTATTGTTATAGATGCGAAAATGGAGTCCCAGAGTCACACAGACAGATGCTGGGAGAAACCCAGCTTTGCTGACTCCATGTCCAGTGCTCTTTACTCTTTGGGGGTAGCTCATGTCCTGGTTTGGAATCCCCCCGGCCCACAGCCAGTTACCATCCGTCCTCCAAGAAGCCCATCCCATCTATGAATTATCTACAGGTCAGGACATTTCTTCTCCATAGAACCAACATCTGCCACTACCCACATGACCCTCTTTGGAGCGTGCACATCCTCTCACAGTGATGGCCCTTCTGGGACCCCAGCATGACTATCCTGGTCCCATTAAGTCTTCCCTTCTCTGGTGGAAGTCCCGGGGCCTCCTCTGCTCCTCCCCTTCCTCACTGCCCGCTTGGTGCTCTCCGTGCAACGTAGTGTCCTGAGCCGGGGACTCCAGATATGTGCTGCAGGGGTGTATGTTGCACGTGTTCCTGCAGGGGTGTGCCGCAGATGTGCGCCGTGGGGGTGCTGCACCAGCAGAGTGGGGTACGAATTGGGTTGTGTGAGCTTTGCCTCGTATAAAATGACACTTTGGGCTTGTGCCGAGCTTGCAATCCAGTAAAACCACAAGTTCTTTTTTCACGCGATCTGCTTATAAGCCAAATTTCGTTTCCTCTAAACAAGTGGAATTATGCTTTTGAACCCAAGTGGAGGACTTGACATTTACCTCTACTAAGAGCTTGTTTGCTCAGTTGTTAATAATCAAAGGGCCTAGTTTCAAATTTGAGAAACCCTTCCTGAAGGTTTTGCTGGTTTACTCAGTACCTCCAGCTACAGAAATGGTTTCCCCACTCTTGAGGCTCAGTCCCTGCCTCAGGTTCCCTACACTTTTCACCCTCTGTAACCTCAGCCTCGTTTGAGCTTCTGCATCTCGCAGGCATCCTGGAGCCAGGTACTGATTCCCCAGAGGTATTTTTTTGCTATTGTGCATTCATCAATTAGGAGGCGTTTATCAGACATGTCCCACTCTAAGCCAGGCACTTGGATACAAGCCAGGGTTACAAAGATCAATAGGTTACCTTATCAGCCTGCTGGAGCTCACCACTCAGAAAGGGAGACAGATCTGTGAACACATAATTACACTACAGCCTGCCAGGTGCTCTAATGAGGGACACGAACAATGTTCCCTCTGTCTGAACAAGTTTCCTGGCCCATATCATTCACCAACTTCCTCCCAGTCATCCCCAGGTCTCTGCTGAGTCTTCCTACAGAGGGAGGGCTTCCTTGAACCCCAAGCCTGGGTCTGGCACCCTTGCCTTCGGCCCCCGGCCTGGCAGAAGTACATCCTCCAGGCATCCAGAAGCTCTGGGAGGACAGGGACCACGTATGTGTGGTCGTATTTGTGTCATCACTGCCTAGCACGGCACTTGCCACAAACCAACTGATGGTGAATTGGATTGCTGTAAAAGGGCGGAAGGGAGGGTAATCAGGCTGGCAGGGGAGGGTGGTGTGGCTGGGGGAAGAGGAAGAGGTGTGCAAATATTAGTCAGCGAATGCTTGGAGGACCAGCAGATCCTCGAGAAAGAAGTGGGATTTTCTAAGATTTGGTGTAGACGGAAGGTGCTCTAGGCAAAGGGAGGTAAGGACATGAGCATAGAGATTGCAGGCATGACGAGATAAGGGAGCCAGAGTACACAGTGCTTTGGGTGCTCACTGGGAGATATTCCTCATTTCATTTCATATGTACAACGACCCAATGAGAGACTCGCGATAGCCTCTTTTGGGGAAGAGAGAACTGAGGCTCAGAGAGGCCACGTGACTGCCCAAGGTTACTTGACTCACCAGAAGCAGAGCCAAGGCTTCCCCCTTGGTGGCTCACGTTTCTACTCTGTCCTGTGTGCTGTGTCGCTTGGGGATGACAGTCTAGTTTGGAACATCCTGAAGTGGGATACAGATGGTCTGCCACGGCCTATCCCTCCCTGGGGGCTTTGCTCTAGGAGCAGAGAGGGCACACAGAGGCCCTTTCGGCCAGTGTGAGGATCTTGGCTCCAGTTAGGGGGAGATTTGTGTTTCCTGTTTACCTGCTGGATGGTGTTTCAAGAGGAAAGCACCTGGACTCCCTGTTACATGGAGACTTCGGACGCATCCACTCAGGGACTCAAGGGGAGGGTGGGAGGTCCCGGCAGGAACTGCTCAGGGAGCACATGCGTTTGCTTTGGCAGGAATCCAAGCTCCCCAGCATCCTGTGACATTTGTCATTCCCTCTGGCAGCTCATGCCCGTCTTTAGGACAAGGGAGGGATGACTGCTGAACTAAAACCATGCCCCCTTATTGTGGAGTTTCTAATCTCCTTGCCTCAGGACTATTAGCCTCTGGGGACAGCAAGAGACCCACATTCTTCTCACTGTCCACCTGCACCACTCAGTGGTGGGCCACAGGGCATGCTGGCAAGCTTTCCTGCTTTGGCACAGCTGGACGTGGGTGACAGTCTCACTTGTGGTCATTCTTTCCTGGGCTCTTATGAGCACCCAGTCTGAGCCTGGCACTGTTCTAGGCTCACTCACTTATGGGTGATCTTTGGGCAGGTTACTTACTGTCCCAGGTCTCAGACTCCTCTGCTGCAAAATGGGGCGCCTAATACCTTCCTCATGGGCTTGAAGGTTGAATGAAGTCACACGTGTAGCTCGCCCAGCAAATGCTCAATGCACGTCAGCCCCCTTCTCTCACCAGCCCTGCCAAGGGAGGGTGCATACAAGGGAGCAGGGTGGGGGTGCTGAGCAGTGGTGGGAAGTGCTCTGGGCACACACCTCAAGCCGATGCAGCAGGGGTGAAGATAGGGAACGCTGACATCGCACCTTTGGCGGCTCAATTTAGCATCTTAGGGACTGTGTGGGCAGTCAGGGTGGACCGTGCCTCCCAGGGGATGGCCACGTGGTGCTCAGAGCTGGAGTCCCTCAGACCTCCCCGGTGCTGCCGCCCCCTCGGCCCCATGATGGCTGACATCACCAGCAGACGGCAGCCATTCTCATGAGGCCAGCGATCTGTAAGGGGGCCACCCTCCTTGGGGACATTTGGCATGCTAGCAGGGGTGTTCTCAGGGAGTGACTCTGGCGGTAGCCTCTTCGGCATGGTGGCACCTGGAGTGTCAGGAGAGGACATTTGAGGGCAAGGGGAGATGTTCCTCTTGACCAGCAAACCTCACCAGGGAGGTGTGTGGGTTGAGCTGGGGCACACTGCCTTCCGTCCACTTCTCTCCTGCCTGCGTTTGCTCCCAGCAATTCTTTTTGGGGCCTGTGTGTTGTGCAGATAGGTTGTCAGTGGAGAAAAGGGGAGAAAGGGCTGCAGACCGGGGAGGGGGGTGGGGTGACAGAGAAAACAGGAAACCCATCTTTCAGTGTGAGCTGGACCCAGAAGTTTCTAGGGAAGGGATGAGGAGCAGGGATGCATGAGGGAAAGGCCTGGCTGTTCTCCTGACCTCGGGGTTATCCAGGCTTCTCCCGTAGCCTTGCCTCTCGGCCACACGGCTGTGGACGTGGCCCTGCTTGCCTGAGCTACAGATGGAGAGCCTCAGCTGACCGTGCCGCGCAGCCAGTGTCTGCCCCAGGGCGCTGCTCTCCCGAGTTCCCACTCAGCCTGTCTCTGCCCGTGCTTCCCTGGCCTTCTCAGAGGGCCCTGCTCCCTGTCAGTCCTTCTCCACCCCAGGTAGGACTTCTCAGCCTAAGCTACTGGCCACAGTAGCCGCCAGGAGCAGAAGCATCATCCTGGCTCGGGGAACTCTCCCATTTCCCCTCCGGACCCATGACAGCAGCCCATCTCCTCCTTGGCCTCTCCCCGCACCCCATGTCCTTGCTCACTACTGAGATTTGTCTTGCCTTTTGGTTTGTTTTGCGGCAGTGGTTCAGAGCTAATAAATTCCTTTGAGCACAAGCTTTGCTCTGGGCTCCCCACCGCTGCATGTGGATGGTGTAAAGGTTGGGGCTTGCACTCAGAACCCTCTGGTTCAGCCCAGGCCGTGACAGCCCAGAAAAGTGACCCGACTTCCATTGGCCTCCCTAAACAGGCACAGGGGTCCTTGCACTGCAGAGCTGGGGTGAAGAGTAGATGAGCTGCTTGTCAGGGCCTGACACGGGAGCCCTTGAGGGTGACAGTGACTATGATCGCTCTACCTACTTATCAGAGGCTTGTGGACCAACTGCAGAGTTGTCCAAAGTCACCCAAATGGTCAGAGCTCCCAGACCATTGTTCTTTCCACCTGCATGTTCCCTGGCATCTCCAGCTTTCTGAAAGCAGATCCGTGGGGAGCCAGATGGGAAAGACAAGAAGACAAGGGAGAGTGTGTGTGTGAGCCCCTGGGAGATTAGGGGCTGCCCCAGGGCGCTGGGTGCTGAGGGTGGGTGGCATCGGTAAGAAGAAGGGCACAGAAAAGGGAGGGAGGGTTTCCTGGACAAATTCCTCCCACTTTGTTTTTGCTGACGGCCTGCCCTGGCCCTATGCTCAGAGATGCAGCTGGGGGGCAGAATGTGATGCGCGGGGACCCTGCTCATGAAGCCCTGCAGGCTCCCGCATTGCAGCCTAACCCAGCCCGGTCATCTGGCCTCTTGCCCAGGCCTGGTGCCACACAGAGAGGCTCATAGGTGAACGGTGCCAGAGGGGTCTCAGAAAGTGCGACCCTGCTCACCCTAGTTCCATGAAGCAGCTGCCAGTATGAGAAAAAGGGATCCCCTCCCCAAGATGCCTCAGCCTCCCTGGGTAAATCTCAGTACATGGCAGGAACACTTGCGTGGTTTAAGTTTTGTTCTTGGACACGTGACCGCTCGTACTTCCTCTAAGTCTTTTTGTCTTTGACTGATTCATAGCCCCTGACCCTCAACAGGAGAAAAGAAATAAACCAAAACAAGCACCCCCCACCCCCATCCCGCCAAAGCTAGCCTCTCTCAAGGGTATGTGATTTCAACAAGATTTCCTTGCCATTTCCTTGCACAATCACTGAGCACCAGGACTGTGCTGGGGGCTTTTATATACATGATCTAATTATCCTTCACAGCACCCCACGAGGCACCAGGGACCCCACTTTGCTGATGCTCAGAGAAGTTAGGCAACCTTCCCAGGGCCACACAGGTAGTAAATAGCAGAGCCAGGATTTAAAGCTGTGTATGACGTCAACACTTATACCTGAACCGCTCTCTTATCAGCCCAAGATCCGGGCAGGGTCACCTTCTCCAGCCCCCACCCTCTAAGTGGCACCCTAAATCATCCCAGGGAGTCAGCCGAGTTAGGGCACTCTGGGAAAAGAAAGCCTGTCCCCTATCAGCCCCCACTGGAGGGCTCTGTCAGGGTACAACGGGCAGTGAAGGGTGGGGACTGGGGTCGGTCCAGTCTAGAGCCACACATCCCAGCCCCACCCTACACCACACTTACCAATTAAAGTGGCCAGCACTTCTAAGAGCTCTGTAGGCAGCTGCTCTTATCCAAACACGACCTGAACTGGCCTCTGCCTCTGTTGAATGCTCAAGAGGAAGGAAAAAGAGCCTAAGGTGTGGGAGTGTATAATCCAGTCATGGAGACAGGACCCCAAACAAGGAATGTTGCCTAACAGCTTAGAACACCATGATATCAGAGATCACTAATGTGGCACATGATGGCCAGTGGCCATGCACATGGAGGCACCGACGCTGAGTCCAGGGACGTATCCACAAGAGGGATGTCTCAGGCGGGGGTCCGGGAAAGGACTGGGGTCTGGGCCAAGGGGCTCGGAGGATGGCTTTTGTCATTTATCCCAATTACCCTCAACTATGTCGAGCATCAGAATGACCTGAGAAGATGGTTGAAGATGCAGACTTCTGGGCCCTGTTGCCTGATATTCTCATTCTGCAAGACTGGGGTGGAGCCCAAGGATCTGCATTTAAACAAATACTCTCTTCTCACTGAAATGCTGCTACCGATGGTCGGTCGGTAACAGAAACACCGTTCCCAGGGACACGAACTCACTGAGCTCAGTGCCAATGACGTCGTTACCTAAGCCTGCGGCAAAGGGTTCCCATTCACGCCTTGGGATTCCCCCTGAGCGGTCAGGATGCCCTCTATCGGTTGCCCTGTTCCCCATGTGAAATCACCCCCACTCTTCCCCCAAACCCATTTTCCCTCTGGGCTGTGCCCATCGTGACACAAAGCACTTGGATGACCGCAACACCCGAAGTCCCTTCAGAGCCTGGACTGTCCGCCCCAAAGCTTGCCCACTATCTCCTTGGATCCTCACAGCGGTGGCTGAGCCGGTGGTCTTTCTACAGGTGGGGCTCAGAGAAGTCAGAGGATTGCCTAAAGTCACCGGAACCCAAGATGACACCCGGGCTTGAACTTGTGGCTTCTGTCAACGCAGCTTCCCTAAGTGCAACCCTGTTGTCCCAAGTTCAAGGAGAGAAGACTGTACCTAAGATTCTGTGAGCATCTATTCTGTTCTGAGCAGGGGCCACAGAGAAAAGTGGGAAACTTACCTATAGGGAGGATGCCCACCAGGCAGGCCAGGAGCCGGAGGGACCATTCCATGCTGTGAGTGTCTGGAGACCCCAGACCAGCCCCACACTCGCCTGGGCCACCAGCGAGAAGCCTCCCTGATGAGGAGAAGGCAGCGTGCCCAGGCCTGTGCCCCTACTGGGCTCCAGGCTCCAGGGGAACTGGGGAGAGGCAGTTGGGCAGCCTGGATATGATCAGATGAAGCCCGTGGGGTTTAGTCATGTGGAAAACCAACAGGGGAACCACTCAGATGATTTTCCAGGACAGGAAACAGAGAAGCACTTGAGGAAGAGGAAGGACCCTCTCCTGGGGCCACTGGTCCCTTTGAAAAAAGTGCTGCTCTTTTGCTGCCTGCCCTCTCTTCCTCCCGTCTTCCCTTTGTCCTCTCTCTCCCTCTACCCGCCTCCCTTCCCCCTTCCCCTTCTCCCTTCCTTCCCTCTTCCTCCCTCTTTCTACCCTCCCCTCCCTTCCATCTTACCTCCCTTCCTTCCCTCCCCCCTCCTCCCTCTCTCATTCTACCTTCCTTTCTCCCTCCCCCACCCCTCCTCCCTCCCTCCTACCACCCTCTTCCCTCCCTCCTTCTTTCTTTCCCTCCTTTTCTTCTCTACATTTTTAGTGTGCCAGCATGGGTTTTCATTTTGATGAAGCTATCTTCCTGTGGCCATGCTGATTCTGAAGTGGTGATTATTCACAGAAGAAAAGTCCTCTCCAAAATGTAGTCATCATTGACAATGGTTACATTACCAAGCAGCATAAAAGGGAAATAGTAAACTTACTAAGCAAATCAATCCAGACAAACATGTCAAAATGCTCAGAACATCAAAATGTCAGATAGAAATATCCTACCACAGGGGCAGAATCTCGGTATCTGTGCCAAGGAGGTAATCAGAAAGCTGAACAGAAAAAACGGCCAGGTAGGAGGCTGGCCAAGGTGAGCCAATGCTTGGGGAGAGGGAAATGTTTTAGTTAGGATAAATGCTAATCTGTTGAGAGAGACAGAGAGAGAGAAGTTCTCAAATACAATAGATTTTTTAAAAAATGGAAGTTGATTTCTGTCCCATATATCAGTCCCAAGGTGAGCGATTTACATAGGCAGGTGGCCTTGCTTCTCCAGGTCATTCAGGGATCCAGGTTCAGACCTATGGTTACTTCCTCACCCCCTTCTCCCTTCTTAATGCCCTTAAGGCTGAGGGTGGCAATCAGGCTTGTTCAAGGGGAAAGATAGAAACTCTAATTGGCTTGTCTTTTTGGTTATCCATGATCCAAAAGCTGTAGACATCACATCCACTCACCTCCATTGGCCACACCCATGGCAAGGGAGCCCTGGAAGTGTGGTCTCTAATGAGGTGATGCTATGGTCAAACTAAAATGTATTACCCTGGAAGAAGGAAACAGATGTTGATGGGTGGTTACTTGTCTCTGCCCCAAGTGTTTGCTATAACTCTAGAAAACTAAACTTTGGAAAACAATCAATTCCATAAACTCTAAAATGTCCTTGAAGGATGCACCCTTATTTTATATACAACTGAGAGAGAAAAAAACTTTGTACCTTTTTATAATCGTAAGATGCCATTGGCTGTAACATGTATCGGAATTCAGAAATGTTAAAAATGTGAAAAAAATGAGGATCTTAGAATTGATGAAATATAGTTCCTTTTTGGCTTTTTGGTAACATATTCTCAACAACAAGAGCCTTTTCAGGGGCACCTGGGTGGCTCAGTTAGTTAAGCATCTGACCCTTGATTTTGGCTCAGGTCATGATCTTACCATTCATGGATTCAAGCCCTGCATGGTGCTCTGTGTGGACAGCAGAGAGCCTGACTGGGATTCTGTCTCCCTTTATCTCTGTCCCTCCCTCGATGCCCCCCCCCCCCCCCAGCGCACTCACCACTCACGTCTTTCTCCCTCAACAGTAAATAAATAAGCATTACAAAAACAGAAAAGGAAGAAAGGACTTTTCAGAGGGGTCAGCCTGTCCTCCCTATGCTAGGAGGAGCCACAGAGAAGAGATGTATGTCTGTGTCTAGACCAGGGTTTTACAGATACTCTTTCTCAGATCAAGGAGGTTTTTTGTTCTGTTCCTGGTTTGCTGAGAGTTGTTAACGTGAATCTAGTGTTGAATTTTCTCAAAAAGTTTTTCTGAGGTAATTCTAAGATTTTGTCTCTTTAGTGAATTACATTGATATTTCCAAGTTGAACCAGCTTTGTGTTCCTGAGATAAACCACACTTGATCATGAAGTATTATCCCTTCTACATATTTCTCGATTCAGTTTGCTAACATTTTATTGAGGATTGTTTAATTGTGTCCATGAGGGATATCGATCTGTGGTTTCTGTTTCTTGTAGTGTCTTTGTCTGGTTTTGGCTTTAGAGTAATGCTGACCTCATAAAATGATTCAGGAAATGTATCCTCCTCTTCTGTTTTCTGAAAGAGATTATGAATTGACATTATATCTTCATTAAACATTTGGTGGATTCCCCAATCATCTGTGCCTAGAGGTTTTTTGTTGTTATTGTCAGAAAGTTGAAACCTATGAGTTTAAGGGTACCTGGGTGGCTCAGTCAGTTGAGTATCTGACTTTGGCTCAAGTCATAATCTTGTGGTTCATGAATTTGAGTCCCACATCGGGCTGTCTGCTGTCAGCACAGAGCCTGCTTCAGATCCTCTTACCCCTCTCTCTGCCCCTCCCCTGCTTATGCTCTGTCTCTCTCTCTTGCTCTCTCTCAAAAATAAACATTTAAAAAAGAGGAAAAGAAAACAGTTTAATCTGTTTGATAGAATGCTATTCAGATTATTTCTTCTAGACGTAAGTTTTGGTAGATCATGTATTTCAAGGAATTGGTCCATTTCATCCAAGTTGTTAAATTTAGGGACACAGAATTGTCCATAATATTCTCTTATTGTCTTTTTAATGTCTGTGAGGTCTGTAGTAATACCACCTCTTTCATTCCTGAATTAACAGTACTTTATTTTTATTATTATTATTTTTATTTGAGAGAGAGAGACAGCAGTGAGCAGGGGAGGGGTGTGGAGGGGGAGATAGAATCTTAAGCAGGCTCCATGCTCAGCATGGAGCCTGACATGGGGCTCGATCCCTCGACCCTGGGATCATGACTTGAGCCGAAACCAAGAGTAAGATACTCAACCAACTGAGCCACGCAGGCGCCCGAACGGTACTTTAAAATCTCAGATTCAAGTACTTTTGAACCTGTATCATGCCCCACATCTATGCTGGACACCGCCCAGATATATGGAAGATCAGCTTCCAGTAGAGGTTTACAGTCTAATCAAGTGTGCTACACCTTGACAACTCAGCTCTCAGCCCCAAACCTACGTTTCTATACTCTGCTGTCAGTGCTGAGGCTGGCACTCTGCAAACCACATTTCTCAGACCACACTTGGCCAGTGGAAGGCCCTAGAGAGAGGCTGGGAGGTGGAAGCAGGGCTTCCAGGTCCTGTTAGCGGTGCTCCAGCACCTTACGAGCCATCTAGGTCCAGCCTCCGGCTCTGTTGACAATCCAAGCCTGCCGCCTCCCCTCAGAGGTGCGGCCCCAGCCCGGCATGTCTGTCCCCCTCCCACCCTATCCTCTGAGCATTAGCCACACAGTGTCCCCCTTCGCAGAGCTGACCACCAGCTGTGCTTCCTCTAAACCCCTAGGCCTCCATAACCCTACCTCCACCCCTCCCTCCCTGCCAGCCCCAGGGGTGGTAGCTTCTTCCTGTAATTACTAACACTTGGGCTATCTCCGAACCCCCAATTTTCTCTCTTATCCTTCAGTTAGTTATCTGTGTAACCAGTGGCTTATACTGTGTTTGATACAGGAACTCAGCATATCTCGGTTTAAGAGGTCAACTCTCCCCAAGTTCATCTCTAAATTCAACACAGTCTCCATCAAAATATCAATAGGCTTTTTTCTTTTTTCCTAAAAGCAGATTCTAAAATTTATTTGGAAGGACAAAGGAACTGGAAGAGTCAGAATTGTTTATTCGAAAAAGAAGAATGCACTGGGGGGGACTGTCATTACTGATTTCAAGAACCACTATAAAGATGCAAAGCAAGAAAATGTGATATTGGTGGAATGATAGCCACAAAGATCAATGAAACAGAATTGAGAGTCCAGGAATACCCGTGTAGCCAACTGATTTTTGACAAAAGTCCAAAGGCAATTCAATGGAGAGAGGATAGTCTTTCCAACAAATGGTTTTGGAACAGTTGGATGTCATATATATATATACACATATACAGGACCTTGACCCATAACTCACAATTTATACAAAAATCAACTAAAAATGCATCATAGGCCAAAATGTAAAATGTAAAACTGTAAAATTTCCAGGGGAAAACAGGAAAAAAAAATCTGTGTAAGCTTAGGTTAGGCAAAGAGTACTAATTAAAAATTTTGATAAATTGGATTTTGTCAAAATTGAAAACATTTTCTCTCCAAAAGACATTGTTAAGAGAATGAAAAGACAAGGGGCGCCCTTCTGGCTCAGTCAGTTGAGTATCTGACTTCGGCTCAGGTCATGATCTCAAGGTTCGGTTGGTGAGTTTCAGCCCCGCATGGGGCTCTCAACTGTCAGCATGGAGCCCTCTGAAGATCCTGTTTCCCTCTCTCTCTGCCCCTCCTCAGCTGGCGCTGTCTCTCTTTCAAAAATAAATAAACATTTTAAAAAAGAGAGAGAGTGAAAAGACAAAGACTGGGAGAAAATATTTGCAAATCATATCTCTGACAGAGGATCTGTATCCAGAATATATAAAGAACTCCCAAAGACCAACAATAAGAAAATAATGACTTAAACAAATCAGTAAATTTGAAAAGACGCTTCACCAAAGAAGATGTACAGATGGCCAATAAGCTCATGAAACCATGCCCAACATCATTAGTCATTAGGAAAATGCAAATTAGATTTATAATGAGATATTGCTATATACCCATTAGAATGTTAGAATGGCTAAAGTAAATAATACTGACAATACCAGATGCTGAAGAGCCTCAGAACAACTGAAACCGTCATGTATATATTGCTGGTG